TAAATAGGACTAGTGCAGATTTATGCAGCAATTTTTTCCTAGTTAAAGTTTGATACATTTAAAATCCACAGGGATTTTTTTCCCAATAGCACTTGTTTACAGGATTAAGCTCTCCATTATTTGATATTTATTCTTTCTGTACTTTTATAGAAAAATGGAAATCACCACTCCTCCAACATCAAAGTGTATTATATACTGGAAAAGAAAAGTCAAGTCTGAATATATGCGTCTCCGGCAGCTCAAGAGGTTTCAGGCGAACATGGGAGCTAAGGTAAAGACATAACGATGGTAGCTGTAGCTTGAAAGGGTATCTCCTAAATGCTTTGCTTTAGCTCATAGTATTTGAGCAGCTGTCAGAGGGGTGCTTCATCCTGTGAATTGGTAAGCTGTATTTTAGTTGCAAGCTGGATAAGTTGGAAGAGATACTACTTCTCCTCATGCTCCATCATTAGCCTCAAGCCGTGTAGTCAGTGTCTGTTGTACATAGAAGTCCGTTGGGTGAGTGCGTAACTGCAGCAAGAGGACTCATTTCCATTTGTTCTTTAAAGTATCTCCCTGCCTGAACCCTGTCGGTGCTGGTGGGCTTCAGATGTCTTACTGTGATGCTCCTGTCCTTGGCAGGCAGGATTTTAGAAGAGGTCAGCTGGGATCAGAAGTTATCAAATGCTACTAGCTGTTGGGTAGACTTTCAGCACAGTTTTGTACCAACGCTGAGTTTAATTAGAATTCTTTCTAATGAGTGTCATCAGTTTGAAATGCTCTGCTTTGCATATGTTTTGATACTCGAAACAAAATCCCAGGAGGGGTTTTAGTGTTCTCAACATGATTTCTTGAATTTTGAGTGCTGCTTTCTCTCATTTCAGGCTCTGTTTGTGGCCAACTTTGCAAAGGTTCATGAAAAGACTCAAATTCTGAATGAAGACTGGAAGAAGCTTCGTGTCCAGCCAGTGCAATTGATGAAGCCAGTCAGTGGGCATCCATTCCTAAAACAGGTGTGGAGAGGGAAAGGGGGATGGCGGCAGCAAGTCTGGACTAGAACCAGGGCTTTGCAGGGAGCTGTGAGGATATGGGATTGTTTTGTGTGTGTGCTGTCCTATGTCAGTGCCAGGCCGTGCCTCGTGCTCTTCTGGGATGCAGAAATGGGTAGAAAAACCCGACAACTCCAAAGGCTTTTCCTGTGAAGGAGTCCCAAAGATTGAACGTGGGGCTTCACTGTGTGTGTCCTGAAGTGTGATTTCTCTTTGGCTGTGACTGCCTCCCAGGGATGCTTTCCTCACTGCCCTTCTCTGTACTCGTATTCCAGTGTACTGTTGAGAGCATTTTTCCTGGATTTCCCAGCCAGACGCTGTACATGAGGACCCTGAACACGGTGGCCCTGGTGCCCATTATGTACTCCTGGTCCCCTCTTCAGCAGAATTTCATGGTATGTAGGAAGGCTCTGGGGCGCAAGGTCTTGGTGCAGTTAGTGTGTAATTGTTACGTGGTCATGGGGTGATTATGCCTTCTTCAACCCACTTGTTTCAAGTGATGTCTGCTCAAGAGATGACAGAAAGTATTGTTTTAGTTGCTTGTTTTGTTGAATCCTGTAAAACAGCCTTGTATCCATGCTGCCTTACCCAGCTAGTCTGTCCTTGATAAGATCACCATTATTTCACAGGATTCAAGGAGCAGATATGATTTTGAGGGGTTTTTTGTTGTAGTTTTTTTTCTTAAGATTTTTCTTCCCTTTTAAATCAAGAGTTTTATTTCTTAGGCAGGTCATTTCCTTTGTGACTGGATTATCCTGCTGGCCTCGTTGTAAGGGTGCTACCGAGGATTAGTTCCTCTATCATAGCAGTGAGGGGAGTGATTTAAACACAGAGTTCGGTGTGTTAGAGTAGTTAAAATTACTTGTTAAACAAAAGAGTGGTTTGTGGCTAGCCTGGCTTTTTGCCTGGTGTGGGGTGTGGATGTGTCCCTGCAACCTGCAGGGCTCTCTGAAGGCTCCAGTTGCAGACTGGGGGAGCAGCGTGACAGCAGCGACTGTAATGCAGAGTCAGTTGGTGGTGCCATGGCAATGAAGGTCCAATGTCCTTGCTCCTGTGGTTGATGCCAGAATGCTCCTCAGCATTGGCTGTGTTCCTCCAGGGAGTGAGTTACTAGTTTGCCTTTCACTATTCCAGTTCTACTTTGCCTTGAACACAATCTCTCTGACATTTTTGGGTGTTTATTTTTCTTGGCAATGTGTGTGTTTCTGAGTTTCCGTAAGCCTTGGAGGCACTGCTCTTCTTTTTTAAAGAAAATTGCACTTTCAGGGGTAAGAGGTACACTGCTGGCGTGTGATAACAGTGAAATATCAGTGATGGCACATCTGAAACTGCTGCCGGAGAGGCTGAACCTTTGCTTTGCACCATGTTGGACAGGAGCAGCCTCAGACATCCCCTGGGGATCAGCAGGTGCTGGTTTTCTGAATTCTATCTGATCTCTTTTCAGGTAGAGGATGAAACTGTTCTGTGCAATATCCCTTACATGGGAGATGAGGTGAAGGAAGAAGATGAAACTTTCATTGAAGAACTTATTAATAACTATGACGGAAAAGTTCATGGAGAGGAAGGTAACCTGGGAGGAGTCAGCACTGTCCATTCAGTCTCTTGCAAATAACATACCAAAGTAGTTAAGAAGTCAAAAGGTGGCAGCAGTAACCAGCTTTTCTGTGAGAGCTGTTAGAGCAGAAAACCAGGAACATGCCTGCTCTTCTAGTTTGTAAGGACACAGTCCTGCCTTTTGATATCCACCTCCGTTCTAGGCTTAGGGTGCTCTGGAGCCGATGCTCTTGTTCTCAGGCGTTCACAGGCATGCTCTGGGATGCTGAAAAATGTGCTAGAGGTTAGGAGGAGCTCAGCAACCTCGTTTCGCTTGTGACCTTAGCCAAGACTTCAATCAATATTTTCAGAAATGAAAAGCGCCTACAGTACTGCCTACCCCATTGTAAAACTCTGCCTGGAGGGAGGAAGGCAGTGGAAGACTCTCTGGCGTGGCCTGTCCTCAGATTGCTAAAAATGGTACCCCACTCTTACGACTCCCTAGTATTAGAATCCCACCTATCCCTACAAAATTGAGGGAAATATTCTGGTTGCTAACACTGTCGTGTGGCTGGCATGTGATTTACCACCATGAGGAATGTGAAAGATGATGGTACTCCCACAAACTGGCTGACAGCCCTGTGTTTCAGAAATGATTTCAGGGTCAGTCCTCATCAGCGATGCTGTGTTCCTGGAGCTAGTGAACGCCCTGAATCAGTACTCGGACGAGGAAGAGGAAGGACACAATGATTCAGAGGTTAAACAGGAGGATGGGAAAGAGGAGCTGCCAGTCACAAGGAAAAGAAAGCGAATTGCAGTGGAAGGTGGGTTTAGCCACAGAAATTGGGTTTATGTTGGTGACACTTCCATCCTACCCTCCCTGAGTAGCTGGCCACTGCTCTCCTGCCATCACTCTTGGTTATTAATGTGTTGCTAAGGGTAGTGACCAGCTTGGCAAGTTCTGGTACAGTAGTGGAAAGCAGAAGGGAAATCGTTTGTTCTCGCTGTCCCCTGTAGACAGGGTAAGAAGTCACCAGCTTGAAGTGTGGTGAGGAAGAATTTAGATGAGTCACCTGGAAAACCATTTCATGGTAAGATTAGCAAAGCAGTTGGGCTGTTATCTGAGGAGGCTCTGGGATCTCTGCTCTTGGAGTGTTTAAAGTGCCAGTCTGGCAAGCACCTATCAGTAAGTTTGTAGGTAGATCTGATTCTGCTGTAGGCCAGGAAGGTGAACCTTTTCAAATCCCTTCCAGACTCTTTTTCCACGTATTAGTATTCCTCTTCCCTCTCCTGTGCCACCTAGAGCTCCTCTTGCGTGGAGGAAGCTCTGGGTTGAGGGAGTTTCATGTGTCCTGCATGACCTTAGGAATGCTGACTGGTAGTTTCGTGTTTGTCGTTGGTTTGTACCGATACGGGTAGCACAAATACCATGACTTTTCATAGATGGAGAAAAGCATTGTCTGCAAATCCTGTCTTGTTAAAGATAAATAGTAATAGCCCTTAAGAAGTCATTAGTAGGTCCATCAATGCATTATGCTACTTTGAAAGTGGCAGAGTGGACCGCGTCTGGAAATGCCTTAGCCTAGGTGCAGGACAAAAGGTTTATCCATTGTCTCTGGGATTACATTTGTCTCTTAAAATACAATCTGGAACACCTACTGGAATCACTCTCTGTGGAAGAAGGAAAGACACGTTCACATTCAGCTTAACTGAGGAATTATCTCTCTTCTTTTTCTTAGGTAACAAGAAGTGTTCAAAGAAGCGATTTCCAAATGACATGATATTCACTGCTATTTCTTCTATGTTTCCTGAATACGGCTTCCCAGATGATATGAAAGAGAGGTAGAAGATCTCTACCTAAGTTGTCTGTTACCTTTCTTAGCAACAGTTGAAATCTGTATTTCGGAAAACAGCACTGTGCTCTGACTGGAAGGTAGAGCTCAGCTGGCTGCAGGCACTGGGAGCAGAGCGGTTTTTGAGTGTTAGAAACTTCAGTTTAGCCTCAGGGTTTCTGGGCCAGAGTCCCACTGGCACAGATAACAACGTAGTCGTGTAGAATGTCCCAAATTAGGAAAGCACGCACATTTGTGGGTGTTTCTGTTTGTTGAATAGGTACCGGGAGCTCACGGAAGTGTCAGACCCGAATGTGCTGCCACCGCAGTGCACTCCCAACATAGACGGGCCGTGCGCCAAGTCAGTCCAGCGGGAGCAGTCCCTGCACTCCTTCCACACCCTCTTCTGCCGCCGCTGCTTCAAATACGACTGTTTTCTGCATCGTAAGTGCAGTCTTGGCCGGACGCTTCCCTAGAGCCCTTTTCTCCTCATTTTTTCCTCAGTGCTTCGTACCTCTGTACGCCTTGCTTAGTGTCTGTGCTGCAGTCTTTGGAGGGTGGTGCCTCCCCGGAGTTTGCCGTGGAGCCTTAGGAGCTGACAGGTGCCCAGAAGCCTTTTATAAAGATGGCTCCACTCATTTCCTCAAACAGATGGTAAACCGACCTGCGTGGCCGTCCCCTCTTTCTCATCATTGTGCAGCACACTGTGTTCGAGCCTTCTGGCAGTTTGTGCCAGAAAAACAGCCATGACTAGACTTTACTCTTGCTTTGCAGAAGCTCATCAGGGAAAGGCATGAATGTTTCACTTACAAAGTCTGGACATACCGCTGTGTTTTGTTGCCTCACTGGAACTTACAGCTTCATCTTAGTCATGTTTCTGCAGTTTGTCCTGCCAAAGCCTTTTGGATACTGATTAGCTGTTAGACCTGCTGTTTCCCAGGTCTAAGAGCTTCTTTGGAAAGTCACAGGACTCTTTCCAGTGAATTATTTATTAAAAGATACAATATTAAGATCATGTGGTCTTTTTGTTTCAGTCTGAAAGCAGATCTTTTTCCTATGTCCTCTCCTTCCCCAGTGTTCCTCCACTGCTGCTGAGTCCCCATCACGGGTTGGAGCAGGGCTGGCCAGGAGGTCCTGCCACCTCGTTCCCTGCTGCTGGGGGAGCTGCTCGGGCACTCTTGCTGACTGCGTCAGGCTCCCACTTACCTTCGTTGAGCTTGTGCTGCCCCTGTCCCTTGCAGTGTGTAGGGGAGACTCTTGGAGGATGCTAATAGTAAAGATAACTATTATTTTTTCAGCTTTTCATGCTACTCCTAATGTGTACAAACGAAAGAATAGAGAGACCAAGATCGAGCCAGATCCTTGCGGAGCAGACTGTTTCCTCTGGCTGGTATGTTTCTGCATTGCTGCTTTTGAAACCACAAGAGAAGTGGCCTGGCCAGCCCTGCTCTGCAGAACTCTGTGGGTCCTTTTCACCAATTGGATGATTGTTCAGAATTAGTTCTAATCCTCATTGGAATCAGGGGAGCATGAATCCAAATGCAGACCTTACCAATGCATATTTTAGCAAATCTCCAACGAAGACTAATTTCATAGCTAGCAGATGGGAAATTGTGGTGACAAACGATTTCTCTGGACTCAGTGCAGCGTTTGAAAAATGAAGCCCAGGTTAAAAATGCTGGGGAAGTGATCTAGCATATGCGGGGAAGGCTCGAGCTATTTTAGAAACGATCTTTCAGAAATGCAGTCTAGCTATGTTACCAGGGATGAGAGCTGCAGATCAGAGGAGCTGGCTGCAGGGAGGTGGGTGCACTCGGTGGTGTCGGAGCTGGTCAGATGGCTGAGATAAGGGGGTGTCCCAGGGAGCTGTGAGGCTGGAGCGGAGGGAGAGGCTAGGAGAACTTCATTGCCGGGGCAAGAGGCAGAGGAGTGGACTGGGGGGCCGGGGCCAGGGCCAGGGAGCCTCTTCTGACCATGCAGTGCTGCCAAAGGAAGCAAAGCGGGACTGTGCAGTGTGGGCAGATGGCAGGGCCTTGACCGTTGCTGAAGTGGCCAGGCATGGTGGGTCTTCCACCTTCTCTTGGTGATGGCGGGGCAGGGCTTGTCCCAGGGCCTGTGGAAAAGCCTTTCTGTGTTCCCTGGTCATCTGCCACCCGCCTTGTCTTCTGCTCTGGTTGCAGGAAGGAGCCAAGGAATTTGCTGCGCTGCACAACCCCAGGTCCAAGTGCTCAGGCCGGCGCCGCCGGAGGCACCACGTGGTGGGCGCATCCTGCTCAAACACCCCGGCTTCCGCCGTCGCTGAGACGAGGGAGGGTGACAGCGACCGCGACACGGGCAATGAGTGGGCCTCTAGCTCCTCGGGTATGCTGCCAGCGCAGGGACCCCCGCTCCTCTCTGGCGGTGTGAGCGGTGTGGACGGGTGGCACTCACAGCTGGGGCTCTGCGTCCCGCACAGGGGTGTGGGGTTCAGAGTTAACAAACGGGGTCCGCGTTTCCACCTGGGCTTAAACACACGTGAGCGACACCAGGCCCTGGCCTTGCTGCTGTGGGAGTCACTGTCCTCTCCCAGGAGGGGGGAATGTCAGGCAGAGTGAAAGCTTTGCTGGGACTTGCAAAGCCAAGA